ATATATATATAGCACATGCTCATCTGTGTGTATGTATTTTATATTTATATATACATGCAGACACATAGGCATACATGCACTTGGGTTTCTTTTTGGGTACATAGGGATAGTCCATATATATAATATATTATATATATACTGTATATATATACTGTATATATATATGTATATTATATATATACTTTACATACTGTATATGATGCGGGATCCTGCAGAAGCCAGGCCAGTCCCTTACGGCGTTCCGTGATTGGGGGCGAACTCTGGTTGTCGCATGATGCCTTGGCACCCAGAGATTGGCTCGAAACCCTCCCGGAATGGGATGGGAAAAGTCACAAACCGAGGAAAACTCGATATGGCTACGGATAGCTTGTGAAATACCATATTTTTGCAGGGAAGAACACCCATTTACAAACTATTTCAGGCTTCACCAGGTACCAGAGTTTGGACCCATAGCCATATATTTGATGGACAAAAACATATATATAACTTCTTGTACATGTTCCCTTGATCAAGCCGGTTGTGACTACCAAGATAGTCCGTGTCTACTTAGCAACTGCAGAGGTACTGGATAACAAATCGGAGGCATCCCGGTGGTTCTGTTTTTGTTCCTGTGTTTTCCTTATGTTTCCTGTTTTTTGCTGGTTTGTACTGGTTTGGGGTCTGGTCTTGGGCGCCGAAAGTCTCTAGTGAGTCTTGTGTGTCAGCGATATCAATCGAGCCTGGGTTTAAACATGAGTTGGGGGGTTCAATGACAAAGTGGGCCTCTAGTTATAAGTTCGTTTAACCATGTTTAACCCCCATCTGACTATGGCTTGATGATGTTAGATGTATCTCCCATAAACCCTAGTTGTTGTAGTTTTGAACCAACTTAGCCATCTTGGGCCCCCATTGCAGGTGACTTCTCACCACCAAAAAAACAAAAAACGAGGTCGGCTACTCCTCTGGAGGCTTCATCAGCGATGTGAAGGCGCCCATTTCGGTGGGGGCATATGGGGGCATTATGGATTTGTTAGCAGAGTGACCCACAAAATTCCATGGCTTATCAATCTTTATCAGAGATTTATAGACAAATATAGAAGAATCATGAAGAATCTATCCACTTCACAAAATGTCACAGCCCGAGATTCCCCAATTTGGGACAAATCCCACGCATCATGGTATTGATGATAACCCTTTTATGCTATTCTTTGCGAATTACTATACCTTAGGCCCTTCCATTTCTGGTGCCCAAATCCAAGGTTCATGATCATGTTCCCATGTAAAATAACCAGAAATATCCAGAAATGGGTATACAGGTATACCTCCATTTCGGGACAGATTCATGATAAATCCCACATATTCCATTTTCATGATTGCTGGTTGTACCTCCACCATTTTTGTTGCTGGTTATCAAAATATCAACATTTGTGGTTGAATCCCCACATACATATCTTTGTTGTTTATATTCAAGTATCTCCCATTATAATTTGTTTTTTTTTTTATCTGAAATTGAGTTGGTGAATGCCTATATATGTGTATTCGTTGAATCTGCATCTTTGATGCTAAAATCACAACATGTTTAATCACAACATGTTTGTTCGTCAAATCCCCATTTTTGATGGTAGTTGTTCTTGGTTAAATCACAATTGACAAATTTATTTGGTTATATATCCCCATCGTAAACCCCTTATATAACTTATATATAACCCATTCTATCCTTGGCTAAACCACCGTAAAAATCACATGTTTGGGTTCTTCAACGGCCTTGTTCAACGCCCAGATCGGCAAGAGCTTGGTCATGGGCACGCAGCAGCAGTGGTTCGCGCGGCAGATGACCATGCCCCCCGGAGGACGCGGAATGGGAGGGGGATCATCTCACGGATCTGAATTGGGTAGTGTCCCTCATAGTAACCGTAGTTATAAGCCATTTATAAAGCGCTTTGTTCAAAAATAGTGTCCCCCCCCATTTTGATGGTCTTCACCAAGGTATATAACTTGAGCTTTGACCCATCTACCCTTTTATGATTGATTTGACTAGGAAATGTTGTGATTTACCATGGGGGTTTTGATCAAGAAAGTTGGCGAGAATGCCATTGGTTTCGTGTTATTGCAATATGGATTTGGGTCAATGAGAGTGGAGATCCCTCAACTCAGACAACATGAAGCATTGCAAATGACCGCAACATTGCGTTCTACATCACTTTAGGAATCCCCATGCAGCTCAAACATGTTATATATTGTTATATAATGTTATATATATATACATACTGTAGTCCCTTCTGTACATGCATACACATGCGTCTATACATTTATACAGACATGTATACTATATACAACAACACACGTACTTAGATGGAATATGTAGGGCTAAGAGGTGTAAGATGATACCATAATATGAGCTGCTTGATTTCTCAACCTCCCAGGGGCCATGTGAGGACTGGAATGTTGGCAAGGATGGAACTACATCTTCATGGGCGCTTCTTGACATTCGTTATGGGCCCCTCCAATCTGATTCCAGGGATTATGTTTGTAGTGCAGAACTTCCTGGGATAGACTGAAAGCGTGTGTGTGTGTGTGTGTGATGTATCGGTTTGGTTCAATCTATCTTTGATGGCTTTGTTTGGTTGATGCCTGTCTATGTTTTTTCCTAGACAGTCTATGTATTATCTATGTATGGGAATCTTAAGCATGCAGGTACAACTTGGCCAAAAAGCGCTGGAGGGTTTGGTGATGTGGCTTTAAAGAATATGGCAACGTCCATACAGGGATTCAAAAAAAGCACACACACTAAAGACATGGAAATGGTTGATGTGCTGGTTGTTTTTAACTATATATTTTGACATGGAAAACAAACAACTATGAAAGGAAACACATCAGAAATGGGTCTCAGACCATGCTGAATATGGAAACCTGAAAAAATGAAGGGCACCTACTAAACACAGTTTCAGCGCGGTAAAAAATCACGCTGACAGCCCTGAATCAGTGCACCTTACGCTTCCGCATTTTGGTGTTAATCCCTATTATTTATTGATGTCACTGTCTATTCCTTGAAGGCCCAGTTGTTCACTGATGCAATATAGCTGCGTATCCCCATATTCATGCGGATTTGTGTTTTTCTTTATATATAGGTGATTAAACATGGTCTTGCCAGTAGAAAATGTGCGTGACCATGTGTGCTGTTTAAGATCTGCAGGTCGAAGGCATAGATGTGGAGATGGGCTACAAGTGTAACAAGGCCAGGAGGTTTGGGACAGAAATCTGTGGAGATGTGACACTTCCTGGAGTCATGGATGACAAGGTATATTTCAATATTTCCAAGAAAGATCTGTTGAAAATTGTCAACATATCAAAAGAACTGTGAAAGTTTGAGAGGCGGATCATCAGGCATGGATTGAGGTTAAGTTCCATGATGACTCTGGAACACTGTTGCAGCAGTCTTCGGCGAAGCTCACCAGGTAAGACGGGTTGGAACCCAAACAGTCATGAATTGCGAGCATCGTGAATTGCTAAGAGAAGGTGTACGGGATCGTAAAACGTACAACCGAGACACCGCACGCGTTTATATATGTAGAAATATATGTAGAACTAACTACTATATCATGATATCATGGTATGTTGATATGTCACTGATGTAGTTCCGCATACAGTCAAAGTTTTTTTTAAATCATCCATCTTGATCTTGCCTGGGACAATGATGCTAATTGATTCTCATGCACATGTCAGAGATACCGCATGAGTTGCACAGTGGACAGGTTCTATCATGTCATTAGGTATTCATAATTAATAGTATTATATTTGCGTACAATGGTTATCAATCGCATACCAGTTGTATCCAGTTGTTATACAAGTTTCCAACATTGGCCGTGGTGATGTACAGCAAATATCAGCAAATGCATCCGCGTCTCACACGCATACACGGCCCAAATGTATGAGTGGGAGTGCTTTATAGTGTATAGGCAGGTAAGGTAAGACAAGTTCTGAAACAATATAATTCCATTAATTCCAAGTGCATGTGTGCTTATGTATGTATATGCATATATGATATGTATGTATGTATATACATATAATTATATATATATATACATATATCACATGACATATCCATATATCACATATATCACATATATCACATATATATATATAATACACATATATTTCTCTATCTCTATCTATCTATATAACATATATGGAATATGGGTCATTTATAGTGATCTCAGCTGACCAAAGATGCTCAGGGAACACTCAACAAGGTCTCCATCATGGACCGGACAGCGCGCCGGGAGTCGAAGTTTTACCACGGACGATCAACGGATTGGTTGTTGGGAAAATCTACAGGAAACCATCGTTTTTTTCCCATGAAATATGGGATTTCCTGTAGATGTTTCCACCAATCCATTGAAACAAACGATTTGGTGTAAACCATCCAAAATTGGCATTTCACAAGCAAGGATGATTCTTTTACCAGCGAAATTGGAGAGCTAACAAACATGAATATGTTGCCAAATATATAAACTACTCGTACTACAGCTTGTGCATCAAAAAGTGGAAAAAAATGGCGCCAAATCGAACATCAGCTGGAGTGATAGGATCGGTATCTCAAAATCCAATTGTTTATCATATATTTGTTCCATTAGAATTACATAAATTGGGGATAAGAACATGTTCATACACGCCTTTTTGTGTGGTTTCCAGACAGCAGCTCCAGTCCAGAGTTGAGACCTCAACCCTGATCCAAAGCAATATCCAAAAGAGGGAAAATCTGCAATATGTGGGGCGTCAAAATCACCAGGTTTGATTTCTCTCTTAAATCATCTTAAATCTACTGTGGAATCCTCCAGTTTGATTGGTTAAATCAGGTCTAATCCCCATTGTTGGTGAAATCCCATCAATTCACAGCCATGAAATCACCATCAAATCACAGCCATCCATCCATTTTTTTGGCTTGTCCGACGTTGTCCGAGGATCCGCGGAGAAGCCCTACATTGTGTGGGAGGCGGGGGTCTGCGGCGTGAAGGCACTGGCAAAGGTGAAATCGGACTGAAGTAGTGACAAATAGTATTTTTATGTTTGGGGGAGAGGTAACATAATCAATATATGATTATATAATATGATTTATTATATAAAATATACTCTATATATAATTTGTCATATTCTATAAAAGATAAGATAATATAATATAATATATATATATATATTGTATATATAATATAATATATATATATACGGTAGAATTACGGAATGAATTCAAGAGCCTTTGGTGATGAAAATTATGGCGCTGCCAGGGCTCCGAATGGATGATCCACGTACCGAAGGTGGTGCATCAGCCGGAGCCGGGCTATATCCAGGACGAAAAGCTGGTTTTGGACGTCCTATCTATCACTTGGCTGGAAAACCTTATGAAAACACCCTTAAAAAAAACACTAACAAATACTATGAAAACATTATGAAACATGTTTTTGTTGTTAACTTGAGGCCTGTAGTTGATGTAATTTTAGCTGTAGTTGTTCGAATGTGGCTGATTCTTGATGTCTTCACTGTACGCCAAATACCATCCATTGATTCTTGATTCATCACTTGAGGAGTGTCATGATTACAAGGTTCGGAGGGCTACCCTAATATACTGGGGATGATCACCATCCAAGGACTGGGCACCTAGTTCTTAACCAACCAGTATGTCAGTTCCAGGATCGCGAAGGCCAGATTGGCTGGAAGTTGAGCTTCAGAGAGGCATGGTGCGGGCTTGAGACTGGTTTCGATGGTTTTTGTTTGTAGATTCAAAGTGAGTTAAGTGGAATTTAACCATGAGAAATGGTGCTTGTATGAGATTTAACCAACCTACAAAAACAAGGTGTAGTGGGATTTAAGTGGTTTTTAACAATCAAACATATGAGCTACAGCCAAAATTTACCGTAATGGAAACTAGTATTCGAATGTATTCGAGACATCTTTATTTTTAGAAATTGAGGTGGGGATTGGAAAACGATAATACACTCTTTAAAAATTGATGACTTGAAGCTACTAAATATTGACCGTGGCCCATATGGCGATCAGGTGATAAATGATTGATGAGTTACTTCATGAGGATTTGAGCACTATTAGCAACTGATGGTTGGTTGAATATTAATTCAGGGTTATACTTCCCTTGATACATTGGGGATTAATTGTCGATAATTATCATATATATATAATTTAATATATCATATCATAAATATAATATCATTATATAATAATTATTCTGCATCAATACCCCTGAAAACCAATCATTGAACGAAAAAAACAAAATGGGGACTATTTCACCAGAAAAACTCAATGCAGGATCCACAATGTCAGAGAATCGGGGTATACCCAAGACACCGCTACTATTGGGAGGGTGAGTATTGTTCTGGAGCCATAAATGTCGTGAACCTAACCTCGCACAACCCCGGCTCCAAGGGCTCCAAGGTATTCCAAGGTGCTTGGCTTCGGAGTTAGCCTCTGGTAATTCAAGGTAGCTATGGAAAATGGAAAATAACCTTTTTTGGTCGGAAAATCCGCATAAATCATCTATTTCATTGGGCCATTTTCCGTAGCTAATATGTTGAAAAACCAGATGCTTAGGATCCCGTGAAATCCAATCAAATCCCATGATATTCCCGATCCCTATCAGAAAACCCAATATTCAACACCAAATGGTCCCAATTTCATGTGGTTTCCCCTAGTAAACTCTGGTTTCTCACCTACTAAACTATGGCACTACGGTTTCTGGAAATTTCTAGGGGCTGAACTATCTTTCCACTTCGGTTTAATATTTATGAACGATCCAACGATCCGGATCTGGCCAGGTCTTTGTGGCTGATCCCCAGATGAGTACCGATACGATCCTCCAGGGCATGCGCTACAAGGCCGTTGGGAAGTGCGGGGCGAAATCCATGGTGAAATCATGGAAGGATAGCACGGGATAGTGTAAGTTACAACGTTGAAGAAATAAGTTAAGAATAGTTCAAAGAATAGTTGAGGAATGGTGATTTTGTTTGGGATATTATCTGATATTTTATTGGGATAGTTTCTCAGAGGACATTTGGATGTGCAACTGTGCAACCAACACTCTATAAGTGGTGATTTCACCAAAACTAGTGGGTATATGTGGGTATATATTGGGGATATTAAGCAAAGATTATTTGAACTAGTTGGCTTTGCCAGAAAATGGGGTATACACACATCCCTCAAAATGTTCATGTTCATAGTTCGGCATGATGAACCAGTGGATGGAATGGAGCACCCATTCTGCGGTGGGGGTGTCCAGCGGGGTATAGCCCAAGCAAGTTGACGGAAATCATGCGAAGCGGGACTGGGGTATAGCGTATTTTGAGGCCCAAAGAATAGGGCACAAAGACGGCACAGAAATCCAGAAAATACCACCAACGGGAAGTCCGAAACATTTGAAAATTCTATGGTGATTTTCCAGCAGGAATATTGGAGCATGATGTCTGAGGTTTCATGATTTGATGTCTCGGGATCACCTACGGGCGGGATTCTTGTAGGAGCTAGGTATCTGACTGGTACCATTTAAGGACCAACGAGCCACATGTTTGTCGTGACCAGTCAACAATACCGAATGTTATCGGCGATCTGCATAAACCGAATACCTGGGTTTGCTCAAGGTATCTCAAGGCGATGTTTGATTTCACGATTGTATTTTCACGGTTTCGGAAATTTCTCGTGTTGTATTTCTTGGGGCGAAGCCCTGCTCAAATCCAAGAGTAGACCCTTACATGTTTTAATCCATGCGATATCCGGCCCCGGCTATGACCCCAGAAGAGCAGCTTCAGCAGACATGAGCACGTCCATTTGATCCAGTAGATAATGTTTCTTCAGTACCTCAACTGGTGTCATGGAGATTGCAAATTCTTGTGTGGACTATAGGATGATGGATATGTGTGTATGTGTATATATATAATGCTGATATGTGATATATATATATATATTCTATCCAAATATATGTATATATATTATATCCATATATATATGTTTTATATATATATATGAGATATATATATATATATATGTGATATATATATATGTGATATATATATATATGTGATATGTATATATATATATATGTATATATATGTATATATATGTGATACATGATGATATATATGTATGTATGTATGTATGTATGTATGTATGTATGTATATATACATATATATTATATTCATATGTATATAGATGTGTATATATATTATATGTGATTATATACATATATGATATATGTATAATATTGATTCCAAGACTTCAAGACTAACAAGTCCCAGGTAGAATGGCAGAAGGTGAACTGGGCACTGCTTAGACATGTCTGTTCCCGGCAGGCTGCTTTGCTTTTGACTCCGGGGGTCAGCGTCTCAGGTGCTTGGGATACCCCAATGACTTCACCCCAATGAGATCATGTCCCACTTGGTGTGTTGTGTCCTCCAAAATGGACGCTTGTCCACGGCCAAACGATGCGGTGTTGCAGGTCGTTATTGTAGTTGTACTGTGGGTGCTTGTGAAACAAGACGACAAAGTTGTTATTTTGGTTTGTCTGAAATGTTGTACCCCAAACCGGCCAAACCGGGTGGTTTATCTATCATCATTTTTCCGTGTAAATGGCCATTTTGGGGGGTCAGACACATCCACTTTTCAGTCAGACAAATCCATTTTTTGCATGCAGATATCCAGGCAAACCTTTTTGGTCGGACTGTGTGAGGAGAGCGACTGCTATCAACGCTCTTCCATAGGGATCCATATCATTAAAATATGATAACACAAAATATTGAAGATGATGCTTTTTCCTATGGAATTCTAGTCCTCTGTGGTCAGTCTAGTCTAGTCTATACAAAAAAATATCGAAAAATAGTAATGTTTTCTTTTTCCAATCGGCAACCCAAACTGACTTTTCGTTCACTTTTACCCAACTACCTGAAAGATTTACATGGATGTTACAGTAGTTGAATTTACCATTATTACTTCGAAGGTCTTAATAAAACAGCACACACTATACTAGGTTTACCCGTTTACCCATATAATCGCATGGTTGATACCTCAATTTGTTGCTTATATTTTGTGTCTTCATTTGAACCATTGGACTTTGGGATTCTCAGCTGGGACTGACAGACATCAAAAATACACCCTGGGGAGTCTCCACCTGCCGAGATCTATACCCTGACTCGATCTTTAGAGGTCCGGAGCCGGTGAAAGTTGGGAAGCGCTGTAGACCTAAATGGGATAATGATGATAAATGGATACGAGTTCCGTGATTTATTTTGGTTGGGTTGATGTTGCTTCGCATGCAGGATAATCTTGGAGTATGGTGGGCTCACAGCATTTACATCCCTGCGACTGGGAAACTTTTTGAGATGGGCTGCAACATCAACAGGATTTGCAACCTCGCTAGAAACTACTTTCACAGCGCAGAAACCCTGCGAGACCCTGAGGTTTTGCTGGCACTTTTGTGAGCGCAGATTTACTGACGCCAGTGAAATGTTGGCCTGGTGAACTTGGTGAAGCAACCATTGTTATTTGATGTTATTTGTCCCTGGTACATAGATTGCATAGCATGTATCCAGAAAAAATCCCCACTAAATGTTCATATGTTTTTCTTGTTTAACTCCATTAAATCTCCATGAAATCCCTTCCGCCAGGTCACAAAGGATCGCTTCGTGGTGCTGGGCATTGGTGCCTTTTGCCCAGGGTACTACCCAATATTTCCCAGGGCTTCGTGGGGAAAAACCAACGAAATCTCCGTTATAACCCCAACTGTTTGATGGATTTCACACGGTTTCACCATCTATAATGTGATATATATATATATATATTTGTTCAATGGATATATAATGGATTATAATGGTACATAGTTAGTATACAACCAATGATGCCTTTCGGTGTCAGACATGCTTGGCAATGGGAAATCCCGGAAGGACATGTAGGTTTAGAGGAGCATCATCGAACTAAATGGGAGATTTTTGGGAGAGTATATTTTGAAGATTTAATGGGAATATACTGAACTGTATGGGGGGGTATTTATTGGAGATATGAGACAACTCAATACTATATGTGGATATGTTTGGGGTATTGTTGATGGTGATTTTGCTTGTAGATAGCAGTTTTGTAGGGATTCGTTTCTTACTTTATTCGGAGAAGGTTTTGCCCTTCACTGGTGATTTTATGATTTCTAGTGCGTACATTATAAATTATAATTGGATAGAATTGGATGTTATAGAAAGTGGATACCCTACATGATTTACAATGGTTCATACTTACACATGTGGATGTGATTACGTCAATATATTTCTTTTCATAAATACATGATTTCACTGATTAAAGCAATTTACTGTACATGATATGGTGGGGGTTACCGAATGTCAGCTGTCAAGAATTAAAACAACCAGGTAACCTACAAGCGTTGTTTTAACAACCATATCTTATGTTGATTCAGTTTCGAACTCTCCAGAAAAGTGTTTTTCCATCCTTTGAATCAAAGGAAATGGATCAACCCGCATGATCTCTCTTTGTCGGGGACACAATGTGATGCACAATGTGATTTTACATGTCGTATATATATATATATATATATACATATGGAGTCATATGGAGGTTTCCTGAAATAGGGGGATTTTACATGTCGTATACATATGGAGGTTTCCTAAGTCATGGGGGTACTCCCAAATCATGCATTTGTAGATGGAATTCTCCATTATACACCATCCATTTGGGGCTACCCCCATTTATGGAAACCCCCATATTGGCATGGGCGGCATGGGGCGGGATGCTTCAATCCAACAAATGACAAAAAAAAACTCTCCCAGGTCTAAAATATGTTTTCTCCTATCCGCGTATTCATAACAGTATCCGCTACACAGAGATGTTTTTTAAATGAACTATTAACAAATAATTATTATTGTGTATATATATACATGCATATATATATGTACGGTATATATATATATATATATACATACCATCCACTCTTGCTGTTTGATGCTGTCTCCCTGTGATCGTTATGGCCCCCAAAGGGCCTGGCACCAAAGTGGTGCCTTGGTGCCGCGCCTCGAACGTGAGGTTTTCCGACCTTAGTTTCTCCGGTGGGACAGTCGTGTTTGAAGGTGCCTGGCCAGGAAGTTTCCTCGCCCGAACTTCCCAAACTCCAAGAAAAATGACCATGTTCGAACAGTGAGGACATCTTTGAAACCACTAGGACCAGGACCATGAAGGGTCGGAATTTGAATTTTGAGAGTGATTTGTAGCTCCAAGCTCATTTGGTGTCCTTTGTGAGTCAACCGTGGAATGTCGAATCCTCCTTAATTCAGCCCTTGATTTGGGAAACTGACAATATTTTGTTTGTTTTTTGGCAAAAAAAATGTGGTTGGACCCCTACTGATAAATATAATCGTAATTTTTTGAAACCCCTGCAAGCAACATCAGGGATAATCTGGGTTTCAAATGACTTACATATACTATCAAGCAAACCTGGCTATGTGATCCAGAGAGTGCAAAGAGATATGGCCGGATACTTTGGATTTGCTAAAGATAAGTTTATTTGGGGAGTCAGCTGGGAATAGAAATGAGATATTGGTTACGGTCTCTACCATACCCAATGGGTATTACCCACTATTAATGTTGTGACATATACTGCAAGTCTTTCCTGTCGGCCTTGTTCTCCGCCGCAGGTGCGTTCAGGCTTGACTGATGTGAGCCGGGTTCCCCAGCGAAGGCTGCAGCCAATTTTATTTTGCGACCCAACATGGAAAACCAATGGACCTTGTAGGACCAGAAACAATCTCAGCTTGTGCATAACGTGGAGCCATATCAGGCATATCCATTTGATGCATCAATTTACACATAAACGCACAGCACACGTCAGCTTGTAACATCGTGCGGAGTTTATGGCTGAAGATTTACTGCTGTGGATCGACCAAAATTGGGGTTTGATGTCCAGAATTGTCACTCTATGCAGAGTCGCTTGAGAATAGATGGGTTTCTATGCCACAATTTGCCGTTTTGACTAGAGAAAATTAGAGAAACTGTTGTTTTAAAATAACACATTGGGCTTGGTGCACCCGTGTTTGAGACGCACCAAGCTAAAGGCAGATGGCACATGACTGGGAGAATGTCAAAGTCACCCTGCAACCCAAGTGATGTCGCCAAGGTGAAGTAGAAAATCGCAGAAGGAGGGCTGTTCAAACTCCTTGCATCCAGGTATCACGAGATCAATTGCCAAAGGTTTCATCCCTTTCAGGCCACATGCTTGCTTTTGGCCAACCGCTGTAGTCACTACTGTAGTCCATCTCTTTGAAAGTCTGCTGAGGAATTGCCAGCATCATATTTGATGCTAATACCCCCGTTTCGCATGGCTATGCGTGCGTGCCTCAGGGTGCTACATGTCGATGCAGGATGCCATGCCATGAATCATCATGATACCATGGCATCCATGGAACTAGATGCCTTGGTGATATATATATATAAGTATAATTATACACATACACTACAATATAATTAATATGTTCCCACTCCTTATCGATCATTTTTTTTCAAATGAGTATCAAAGGTTGGCCAACTCGAGATGATGATAATATGATGATAGTGTAGAGGTGAGTCCCTTTCCCAGGTCAGACCGCAGGAGGATACCCTATGAGAAACTTATGGCCCTTGAAAGTTGAAAGTTTCCTGTTCTGGTCGCAACATGGAATTCAAACATCGCCAGGTCTTTCAAAGAAACTTATGACTTCTTCATCCCCTAATTATCCGGGTCATTTCACCTCTGAAAGGCAACTTACTGCCAAAGAAAACGGAACTTCCCAACTCAGTTCCATCATCAGAAACATATCAACAACTTACCTTTCCAGCAAATACAAGCAAGAACAGTCAAAGAATCATCAGAGAATCATCACTGTTCCAAAGTTGAAAGCAATCACCAAGTCCAAACCAATAATCAGATCACATGAATCACCCTCTCACGATGCTCTTTTGTCCGTTTTTCCGGAAAGAAAACGACATCGATCTCCACGGGTTCTCCCGTTCGCCAGGGAACCTCTCCTGCAGTGGGGCGATGCCACAAACCTCTTCGTCCGCCGGCAGCTCGAGGTCAGTGGCGTAGTGAGGGACTCAGAGCAGGTCATGGGCTTCGAACTTACAACTAGCCAGTACATATAGATGATACAGTAATATGTCTATAGATAGATAGATAGCTAGATAGATAGCTAGCTAGATAGATAGATAGATAGCTAGATAGATAGCTAGATAGATAGATAGCTAGATAGATAGATAACTAGATAGATAGATAACTAGATAGGTAGATAGATAGCTAGATAGATAGATAGCTAGATAGATAGATAGCTAGATAGCTAGCTAGATAGATAGATAGATAGCTAGATAGATAGATAGCTAGATAGATAGATAGATAGCTAGATAGATAGATAGATAGATAGCTAGATAGATAGATAACTAGATAGGTAGATAGATAGCTAGATAGATAGATAGCTAGATAGATAGATAGCTAGATAGGTAGATAGATAGCTAGATAGATAGATAGATAGCTTGATAGATAGATGGCTAGATAGATAGATGGCTAGATAGATAGATATATAGCTAGATAGATAGATGGCTAGATAGATAGATGGCTAGATAGATAGATTTATAGCTAGATAGATAGATAGCTAGATATATAGCTAGATAGATAGATAGATAGCTAGATAGATAGATAGATAGCTAGCTAGATAGATAGATATGTTTCATAGATAGATAAATATGTTTGATAAATATAGTGTTACATAGATAGATACGTAGATAGATAGATAGATAGATAAATAGATAGATAGATAGATAGATAGATATGTTTCATAGATAGATAAATATGTTTGATAAATATATATGTTAGCTAGATAGATAGATAGCTAGATAGATAGATAGCTCGATAGATAGATAGCTAGAAAGATAGATAACTAGATAGGTAGATAGATAGCTAGATAGATAGCTAGATAGATAGATAGCTAGATAGGTAGATAGATAGCTAGATAGATAGATAGCTAGATAGATAGATGGCTAGATAGATAGATGGCTAGATAGATAGATAGATATATAGCTAGATAGATAGATAGATAGATAGATAACTAGATATATAGCTAGATAGATAGATAGCTAGATAGATAGATAGATAGATATATAGATATGTTTCATAGATAGATAAATATGTTTGATAAATATATATGTTACATAGATAGATAGATAGATAGATATATATATATATATAGATATGTTTCATAGATAGATAAATATGTTTGATAAACATATATGTTAGCTAGATAGATAGATAGATAGATAGGCAGATAGATAGATAGATAGATAGATATAGATATAGATAGACAGCTAGATAGCTAGATAGCTAGATAACTAGATAGATATGTTTCATGATTTATAAATAGATATATATGTTTGATAAATATATATGTTAAATAGATATATAGATAGATAGATAGATACATAGATAGATAGATAGATAGATAGCTTGATAGCTAGATAGCTAGACAGCTACATAGATAGATAGCTAGATAGCTAGATAGCTAGATAGCTAGATAGATATGTTTGATAAATAGATATGTTAGATAGATATGTAGGTAGATATATATATATAGATAGATAGATAGACTGATAGACTGATAGACTGATTAGATTAGATAGATAGTCAGATAGACAAATAGACAGATAGACAGATAGACACATTGACAGATTGACAGATTGACAGATAGACAGAGAGACAGATAGACAGCTAGACAGATGGACAGATAGACAGATTGACAGATTGACAGAGAGGCAGAGAGACAGAGAGACAGATAGACAGATCAGATTAGATTAGATTAGATTAGGTTACATCAGATTCGATTAGATTCGATTAGATCAGATTAGAGTAGATTAGATCAGATGAGATTAGATTAGATTAGAGTAGATTAGATTAGATTAGAATAGATTAGATTAGATCAGATTAGATCAGATCAGATCAGATCAGATTAGATTAGATTAGATCAGATTAGATTAGATTAGATCAGATTAGATTAGATTAGTTTAGATTAGATTAGATTACATCAGATTAGAGTAGATTAGATCAGATTAGTTTAGTTTAGATTAGATCAGATTAGATCAGATCAGATTAGATTAGACTAGATCAGATTAGATTAGATTAGATTAGATCAGATTAGATTAGATTAGATCAGATTAGATTAGATTAGATCAGATCAGATTAGTTTAGATTAGGTCAGATTAGATTAGATTAGATTAGATTACATCAGATTAGAGTAGATCAGATTAGTTTAGTTTAGATTAGATTAGATCAGATTAGATTAGATCAGATCAGATTAGATTAGATTAGATCAGATCAGATTAGATCAGATCAGATTAGATTAGATTAGATCAGACTAGATTAGATTAGATCAGATTAGAGTAGATTAGATCAGATTAGTTTAGTTTAGATTAGATCAGATTAGATTAGATTACATCAGATTAGAGTAGATTAGATCAGATTAGTTTAGTTTAGATTAGATCAGATTAGATTAGATTAGATCAGATCAGATTAGATCAGATCAGATTAGATCAGATCAGATTAGATCAGATCAGATCAGATTAGATTAGATTAGTTTAGATTAGATTAGATTAGATTAGATTACATTAGAGTAGATTAGATCAGATTAGTTTAGTTTAGATTAGATCAGATTAGATCAGATCAGATTAGATTAGATTAGATCAGATTAGATTAGATTAGATTAGATCAGATTAGATTAGATTAGATCAGATTAGATTAGATTAGATCAGATCAGATTAGATTAGATTAGATCAGATTAGATCAGATCAGATTAGATTAGAATAGATCAGATCAGATTAGATTAGATTAGATCAGATTAGATCAGATCAGATTAGATTATAATAGATCAGATTAGATTAGATTAGATTAGATATATAGATTAGATTAGATTAGATTAGATTAGATAGATAGATAGATATGTGTGTGTTTGTAGTAAGGTATAAGAGGAACCAATTGCCACTGCATGACGGCGGGCCCCAAGGCCTCGGACATTGTCGCGCGGATCGGGGCCTTCGCTTACCTCAACTGCGAACTCAAACGCACGGGCCCCGCTTGTTGCTTTGGCCCGCTGTTTCATGGAGTGAAAAAAACCCTCCTTCCTTACATGATTCGTGGTTTTATGATAGGTGTTATGTTTTTTTTCCACCAGACTGGGATGCATTCATATTTGGGTATGAGTCAAACCTATTATGACCATATTTGGGGAAAAAAACTCCAGTAACCATCCGAATACCAGGCTTTTGACCCACCATTTTTTGGGGTGAATCCCAGCTGGATGAGATGACCACACTCGCTAGTGATCTCCAGAAGGAAGGGTATTGTAGCTGGTCGTGATTTTCTACATGTTCCTTCTTCGACCTTTTTCTATGAGTTATATCCTGGCAATATATATATATATACTGTATACATGTGTATATAATATACATATATATATTATGTATATGTATATAGTTATGACCACAATATCCTGACCATGGCCCACATGTCGACATCCAGGGGCAGATCATATGCTGGAGTTCAATGATGATAGTTTGATCATTGACAACGTTTGGGTCCTCGGTCCACTGTGGAAGGCACTGGGGCAACTGGGGCTAGTCGCGGCTAGTCAGAAGTATTTTCAAACGGGTTCAAGTGGGGATGGAAGGAAACACGGGGGAGAATTTTCTGAAATTCGGCAAATTATCGATGAATTTGATATGGTTTTCGATGAGTCTTAGTCACCAACTGGGGCGTTTTTTCGACCTGCGATCGTTGCAAGGATATGCAGGGATCATCCGACCGAATCTCACTGAGGTTTGGGTTTGGCACGCGGATCACGATGATTGCTCCAACTTCGTGATGGTTGTTTGGCAGGGTGGTTCAAAGATCGGGACCAACAAAGGCTGGGAGATGTGGAGAAAATGCATGAAAATGCTGGGTCCCTCACAAAGAAATGATCAACTGAGAGTGGGGATATCAACAAACCTGCGTAATGTCAACTTGGGAATACCTCCTCTTCTGAAGTTTGAATATTTTGTGTGAGAAGAAGAAGAAGAAGAAAAAAAAAATATCCAATTTCAGCTTCACTGGTTCAGTTGTGGTTTGGGTTAGCGGTTTGCATGAATGGAGTTACAGTATGTATCCCGAAGTGAGAATCCCTTTCAAAGAGAGGGTTTCTGGGAATGCACAGAACCAACCACGACCACCATAGGTCCATTAGGTCTTTCTGGTTCATTCACGCATCCAAAGCGACCATGAATGAGCAATGTTCGGATGATCCAATTAAGTTTTGTGGAATACGGTACTACTATTAAATTATTACTGCTACTATGTATTTGTACAAGTGTCTACATATATGTTACAGTTGTTATTGTTACTATGATTATCAGTATTCTAGTCTATCATTATTATCATTATTATTATTCATTGTTTATTAAATCATTAGCAGATAATAATTGAATATAGTCATCATTGATATAATGAGAATGATATACAATGATAGTATATCATTTAATATCAGCATATCATTACAATCACTGCATATCATATATGTGGTATCATGTATTATCATTAATTATATATGTTTATAATATATGTTTAATTGTAATTATATATCATATATATATATATATCACATATATCATATATATATATATATACATATATATCATATATATATATATGTATATCATATATATATATATATATCATATATTAGCTTTATAGCATACCCCGTCTTTATAGCAATATTTCTGTCAAATTACTATAATATATATATGTGTATATACATTTATATATGTATATCACAATTGTCATTTGTGAAATTTCCCAAAACCACGAGGACTTTTTGTTGCTTGATCTCCCAAGGCTAAAGGCGCAGACATGATGGATCGCCATTTCAAATCCGACCAGCGCCTCAGTGGTTTAATGTGCTGAGCTGCTGAGATCCATGGTTGACTTGTGGTTTTAAGCATCAAACAATGGGAATTCAGAAAATAGGAACTTATTTATGGTTCAATAGTCGCTATAACCAACACTTTAAGAATGACAACCATGCGATTGGATGGGATATGAATGGGAAGAATGGGGATACAACGGGTTTACTAAGCAACTATCATTAATCCCCTGTTCAGCCTTTAAGCCCAAGCCTGAAACCATGGTGGATGTAGGGGATTGGAACATGACCTGATTGCTGGATGTTGGTGTCATCAGTTTCCTTACCCTCTGGTAATTTAACAGTTTGCTATTGAAAATGGCCCATAGAAATAGAGTGGATTTACATTAAAAGATGGTGATTTACAAATTTACCATAGTTTTGTGTATGTTTACCAGAGGGTAAATCCCATTAAATCCCATTAAACCACCATAAAACCACCATTTTCAATGGGAAAATCAACTATAAATGGCCACATCCCGTGTCACCACAGACAGCTGGTCACCTGAGGTGCCAAAGTCAGCATGGTATTGTGGTGAATGGGTGGGGTGCCTCAGCCTGTCCAAAGTGAACATGGGTCTCATCATGATTGATCTAAGGTACAAAAAATGTACTTACATTATGTATTAATGTTACATGTTGCATGAATATATACACATATATGATATATATATATACATATATATATATATACATATATATATACATATATATATATATATGCACAGACAGTCCATTTGTGGGACTATTGGTACCCACTCTTGAACCCATGGGAAAGCCGTTGATTCCATCCCTACAACTGGGTCAACCCAAATGACTCTGACTGGCAAGACTTGGGTGCAACCTCAATCCCAGCTGCTGGTCAAACTTTGAAGATGTTGATAGCTTGAACAGTCGTATGAATCCATTCCAGCCATGAATTACTATGGTTAATTATTCCTATGAATATTGCTATTAGAATGATGATTATTGATATTACTATGAATATTACTATGAATATTACTATGAATATTACTATGAATATTACTATGAATATTACTATGAATATTACTATGAATATTACTATGAATATTACTATGAATATTACTATGAATATATATCACTAGATGTTATATTACGATCATTATCACGATGATGGTGGTGATGATGATGACGACGATGATGACGATGACGCGACTCTGCAGACCCATCTGATGAAATGTGTTTACATGAAACAGTTCATGAAATCTGGCATAGATTTGTTCTGTGTACTGTGTTCTCTATGTTATACAATCATCCACAATGGAGTCGCGCAGTGTTCGATCAGTGCCTGAGGAACATCTACAGCCACTTTGCTCTGGGTTTGGGTGTCTACATCATCGGTGGAAAGCCCGTCCGAAGCTCACCTCGAACAACTGGCGCCGAAGGCGATTTTGGGAGGCCCTTTTTCGGAGATGTTTTTGGGCATTTCATAGTTGGATTGCAATGTGAGTTGAGTGGTTTCCCTATGTTTCCCTTGACTTTGCCAAGGCTTACGCTGCCTACTTGCTTTCAGAATATTGCGACCTGCGCAATGCCAGGAAACCCAGGGCGGGAGGTTTCGGAACCTCATTGGCCTTGCTTTGTCTGAAAATAAGGCGACAATTCCAATCAATTGTTTATATGGAATCAAATTTGAGCAATGTGAGATTATTCAACGACTAGAAGTCAAGTCAAGACAAATAAAATGAATACCAACTTTTTGGGTCGTTCAAGCACAATTTGTTGGTAGTTGGCCTCAACCCTCAACAACCCTCAGGGTGCTGCATGGTTTTGGATTGTCCACTCTTATCCCAATCTGGGTATTGGCCCAAAAGTTCATGGGTGAGAAACTAATGAGGATTTTATGGTAATAATGATAACTACGCAACAATAAATGTTATATAATGTTAGTTATATATATATGATTTATCTTAATTATCCAATGATGAAGTTCATGGCAAAATAAGCTGACCATAAACATGGGTACTCCCCTAAGTTTGGACACAGCTAGGTCCCATCAAGCAATATAAAACATTCTAAAGCGGCTGTGTTGGGAGCACGAGGATCTGAAGTGCCAAGACTTTGTCACACAACGGTATGCTCGAAGGTTTGCGACCCCTCACTTGTCACAGGAACAATACCAATATCAATATTTTGTCCGCTGATTTTGTTGAATGTTCCTAAGGGTCCTAACAAAATGATATGTATATATATATATATATATGTATGTATATACAAGTATGTAATCCTCTATCAATTCTTACAAGTATATAAACAAAGCCATATCATATTTATCGCTTGGTCCAACAAATCGATTGGGATGGGCAGGATACCCACAAATGACCATCTCAATGGGTAAGATTCGATTATGTTCTCAGCAGTAAAAAAATGGGATGCCCTATATCATTAGAGACAAAACCCATAAAAATTGGATATAAAAGATTATATATATACACATATTAAGTATATACAGATTCATATACACACAGTGTATGTATATACATAGTATACATATTAGTATATATGTATAATATATATATATTTAGATATATGTGATATATACATATACATACCGCATAATATGTATATAATTATATGTGTATAATATGTAATACCTGTCCACAGTCCATCGCAACGGTCGTTGCGAAGGGTCAGATTGTTCGGACTCCAACGTCTCCCAGGTGGTTACGGTTGCGATCGATGCTTCTGATGACTCCTTTCATCACCAGGCGCTGATTTCTGGGAGCACGGCACCGTGCAATTTTGGGCGGGATTTCTCAGCCATGGAAAATTGGGGAGTTCATCCAATGGTTAATCTATGGATAATCTATGGTTGATCTATGGATAATCTATGGATAATCTATGGTTGATCTATGATGATGATGAACCATGAGGATATCATCACCAAACTAGGGATATATTGGATTGGTTCAGAATCTACAGTAGCCCTTTTTCAATTGTCCATCCAATTCTGGGAAGGGGACCTCACGCCTTGCGTGGACCATCGGTGATGAACATTGATCAATTTCGTGAGGGGGTTTGGGGCTATCGAACTGATGTAGACCCAACAATAAACCATACCATCTGGTTATTTAACATAGCCATGGAAAATAACCATTGATAGATGGTTTACCTATCAAAAATGGTGATTTTCCATGGCTATGTTAAATAACCAGAGGGTAACTGCAATCTATTAGCATTTTCTTGACAAACCTTGGTCACTGAATTGTACCAGAATGTTTAATTCTGCAGCATGAATTACAATACTTTGAATTCACCAATGTAGAGATTTCCTAAAATAGGGCTACCCCAAATCATCTATTTTTAGAGGTTTTTCCATTACAGTATATACCATGCATTTTGGGGTACCCCCATTTCAAGAAACTCCAATGTGAACAAGAAGAAAAGTAAGTTGCTTGCTTGACACGTCCGATTTCCTGCTTGACAAGATCTGGAGATGAGTCAAAACCTACGAAATTAAACTGGGGGAATAAGCATCCATCAACCAGCTAATGACCTAGGGTATCATCCAGGTACCAGGGTTTTGATTCATAGCTATTTGATTGGCTAGAAAAGCGTTTGTCAGCTGAGAAAACTGAACCTTGTCCCCCAAAGTCTAGACAGTCAAGGCTACGGGTTTCCGTACAACCCGAAAGCAGATAAGAGCGTGATTTTGTGGCAGAGCTGGGTTCAAGAAATATGTTTAAAATATTTAAAATACAATTACACACCAATGTTTGCATTTTGTGATATTTTCTGAGCCCTTTGCTTCCTATCCCCTGCAGGTGTGTCAAGAGAGCATGGAAGGTGAACAGACGTGCTACAAGCACCTGGGCCAATGCTTTTGAAATCTTTTGAAGCCATGTGGCTAGAGGATGTTAGAGTCGAGGAACTGGTTGATTTGGACAAGGAAGTTGTAGACAATACATGTAGACACACCCACACACACACACACACACGCACACACACATACTAGTATATATATATTATACACGTATATATAATTGGGATATTGATATTGGGATTACATAAAGGAGATTGAGAAGGGACAATATGATGGGTGGATATAGCATATAATACCACAATTAATGATATTACATGATATTACAACATAATTATATATTCAATCATATTTACAAATTCGTATACAGTATATGCATGGACGTTGTTGAAATACAAAGTGCCTGGGGCCTGCAGATGTTGATGTCGTGTCGATGCTTTTTGTGTGAAGCCATCCGCTTTCAGATGGCAATCTTTACTCAGGGGATGAGGTTCTCCTGCTTTGCCCCTGTGCATGCTATGATGTGCTATAATATGCCACAACAATATGTTACTATGTTAATAATACATAAAGCTACGAATGTAATGTGTATATATATATATATTATATAATATATATATATATATATGTTGATGCATTGCACTTCACCTCATGTACACTAAGGGCAGACATCCGCAGGCACATTCATGGCCGAAGGTGGAAAAGAAGTCCGCGGCAGGGGCCGCGTGTTGCGAGGGTGCTACCGACATTGGTAGCGGAGCCAGGGAAAGCCCTGGCTCCCAGTGGCCCTTTCTAGGTAGATTGGCGCCATGACGGAGCTCGGAGCCTCACTGAAGTATTTCTCAGGAGGCGATGAGGTGGACCATCGCGAGTATCGACGATGGAAGCAGTGGGTCATCAATAAGATGAACGTGATGGACAAGCTTCCGAAGGAAGCTCGTGGCAGCTTCGTGTGGACGTTGCTGCAGGGACGTGCGCTCGAGATTGTCGAGCACTTGGCCGATACCGACTATCAGAAGGAGGACGGTGATCAGGTCATCTTCAAGCTTTTGGATGAGAGATGGCCGCAGAAAGAACGAAGTGACGAGATGGGTGAACACATCTCCGAGATCTTCGCCTTGAAGGCGAAGGAAGGCGAGACCATTCGTCAATGGTGTGGTCGCGCCAGGGAAGCCTTTGACAGGTGCCGGAGAAAGACTGGTGTGTCCTTTCCCCCAGAGGCACAGGGGTGGATTTTACTTCAATGCAGTGGCATGACGGAAGAACAGCGTGCAGTTGTGCTGGCCCGCACCCAGGGCGATTTGAAGTTTGATACTATGTCCACTTCCATGAGGCCATGCTTCCCTGACTATGTGACCGCCAAGCGTCGCACGATCGGCGCCCATGTGGTTGAACCAAGAGCTGCCATGGACGAACCGGCTGAGATTTTCCAGCCTGAACCAGAGATAGAGTTCGAGGATGTTGAACTGTTTCTCGCCGAACATGGCGGTCTGGAAACCTCTGCAGAACTGGAGGACACCTATGAGGAGCACGAGATAGCCGACATCCTAGCTGTGAGCTGGAAGGAGAAGAGACAGGAGCTGAACAAACTGAAGCAGTCTCGCCAGTTCCACAAGGAGGCTGATCTGAAAAAGACCTATCGAATAGAAGTAGAAGAACTCAAAAAGCGTACCAAATGCCATCGCTGCAAGAAGGTGGGCCATTGGGCCCGTGAGTGCAGAACCAAGCCTGCCAACTCCAAAGCATCTTCAAGTAGCACCCATGCTGCCGGCTGCGTTCAGGTGCCGGCCACAGAGCACTTTGTGTGTGCAGCGGGCTGGATGTCAAAGGGTATGACTTTGTTGGAACGAGTTCGAGCAAAGCTGAGGTCTTCTGATGAGAAGGTCAAAGATGAGACCACCCCTTTTCAGATCTCCCTGGTGTCATCCCCAGGATATGCAGTTCTGGACTCTGGATGCGGAAAGACCATCATAGGAGCTGCGACTTTAGAGTCCTTCAGGAAGATCTGGAATATAGCAGGTATCAATCAGCCTGAACCCTATGCTGAGGAGAACGTGTTCCGGTTTGGTAATGGATCCAGTGAAGTGTCCAAGACTGCAATCGAATTGCCAGTGTGTCTTGCCGAGCGGCAAGGCGTGATCAGAGCTGCAATTGTCAAAGGAGACGCTCCCTTGTTGTTGTCTCGCCCTGCAATGAAGACACTGGCTGCTGAGATGGATTTTGCAAAGGATGAGCTGCGCCTTTTTGGAGGCAACACTGCTGTGTCCATGCAAGTGAACACCGCTGGTCAATACATGATTCCAGTGACGGAATTTCCAGTACAGCAGCCGCTGCCCAAGATCGTGAAAGAGCCTGCCACCACAGTGTTGGCGATCGAAAGCGATGACCCTGAGCCTGCATCCGAACAGCCCTCGCCTGAGGGTGAATGCACCACTGCATCCGTGACATCCGATGCCGTTCCAGTGCCCAGGGAAGGGGTTGTAATGAGCCATAATGGGGATGTAACCATAGTGGGTAAGAGGGGTAAGACTAAAGATTATTGGGTAGTTAAGCCAGCTGCTCGGGAAGTGATTCGTGTGCATCAAGCCCCGTGCAGAGAGGTTCACTCCATGTCATGCCCATTGTCCTGTCTTGCCTGAAGAATTGTCCTCCGATAGGATCACTAGGTGGAATATCGTAGGTCGTTCTGAACCCGCATGTGAACTTCAAGACCAATGGACTGATCCCGCTCACGCCCATGACCATTTACCACTGCCTGACGGTAGCTACTGGGTAGGTGAAACTGTTTTCCAATTGGCAACCGATGCCGCCATGCCTGCAGGTACCGACCGTGAGACCTTGATGACCCAGTGGACTCCCAAGCAGTCCCGTCAACTTGCACAACAGGTCGGGAAGTTGGAACAGTCTAGGAAGCCCAAGAAACCTTTTGATGTTATCGAAGTGTTTTCACCACCTAGGTTTGCTCAACAGACGGCTACTAGAGGTCAAACATGTTTGTCAGCGGATTTGGTCACTGGATGGGATTTCAGAAAACCATCACACCGGGAGAACATGAAGAAGCTGATCAAAGAAACCCCACCAGAATTGTTGGTTTTATGTCCACCATGCACCTGGGCGGGAGGATGGTTTAACCTGAATCAACTATATATAAGTCCAGAAGAGGTTGCCGAAAAGCAAAGGCTCACCATGCTGTTCATCAATTTCTGTTGTGAACTGATTGAACTCCAGTTGGCATCCGGTAACAGGGTTTTGTTTGAGCATCCAAAGGGGTCTGTCGCATGGAAAATGCCCAGGATTCAGAAGCTTCTCCAACGCATGCATGAAGTAGAATGTGACATGTGTAGGTTCCAGCTGCGTATCCCCAAGGGTCGCTTTATCCGAAAATCCACGAAGCTGTTGGTGTCTCATGCAAACATGAAGAGTCTCAATAGGAAATGCCCTGGTCACCAACACCCTGCCCACCGAGAACATCATGTAGTTGCCGGGTCCCATCCACAGGTTGGCAGTGTGAGTAGATTTGCTGGACAATACACCCAGTCTTTTGTCCGAGCAGTGATGAATTGCTGCCCAAATCTCCGAATTAGTCCTGTGCTGTCTGTGGCTTGTGATAAGCCAGCTGAATGCCTGGTAGCAGCCCGTGTCCGTGAACTCAATGAAGCTGATACAACAAAGGTCAAAAGCAGTCTCCAGAAGTTGCATGAAAACCTAGGACACCCAGGAAACCAACATTTGGTTCGACTGTTGAAACATGGTGGTGCCAGCCAGGCTGCTCAAGATCTAGCCAAAACACATGCATGCCCACAGTGCTCAGCCCGAGCGAAGCCTCGACCAGCGTTGCCAGCTCAACCAGAGCGAGTGACAACGTTCAACAAGCGCGTTGGTATTGACATCAAGTATGTTACTGGTTGGAAGGTGAATCAGAAGATTCCTGCTGTTAACATCATCGACTATGCCAGTAGTTTTCAAGTAGTCGTACCATTGTTTGAACGCGTCACCGCAACAGCCATACGCCGCACCATCCAAGAGAGATGGACCCACTGGGCTGGCCAGCCCGATGAAATCCTATGCGATCCTGCCAGGACCAATCTAGCTGACGCCCTGACCACTCCAAATGAGCTGGCCGGATCAGTGATCCACGTGACAGCTGCTGATGCACATTACCAACTGGGTAAAGTGGAGGTTCATGGAGGTTGGTTCAACCAGATCTTAGAGAAGATAATCTATGATTGTTCCCCTGCTGACCAAGACACATGGACCGAATGCATGCACGCAGCCCATTGCAAGAACGAACTGATTCAGGTGTATGGAATGACTCCAGCACAGTTCATTTTTGGACGTAATCCCAAGATTCCTGAGAACTTGATGGATGAGCCATGTGAGGTCATTCCAGCAACTGCATCCTTGTACGAGGCTGAGATAGCCAAGAGGGTTGCAATTCGTCAAGCTGCCCGTCAAGCCGTTGTGACACTGCAGGATAGCAAAGCCTTGCGTTTAGCTCTCTCTGCTCGTCCACGACACCAGGTGGAGCCTGTACCAGGTGATATGGTAGCTTACTGGAGATCTCAAAAATGGGATAGTGGCAGCCTAGATAACCATGGCCGCTGGCATGGGCCAGCAATTGTGTTGGGAAAGGTAGGCCGCAACCTGGTGATCGTGCACAAGCGACAAGTGCTGCGATGTGCGCCCGAGCAAATCCGGGCTTCAACAACAGAAGAACGGCAGTTGGTGCGCGCTCCACATGCAGAGTTACTAGGATTGAAGCATGCCTTTGAAACTGGTCAGATTGCGAGTCGTCAGTATGTTGACCTAGTGTCTGGTGATTACCCTACTGTGGCTGCAGAACCTGCTGAGCAGTCCAAGATGTTGCCTGATGAGCCAGAGTCTGCACCGCCGTCCGTTGCCAGTGATCACCCGAGAGCAATCGAGCCTCTCAGTCCTGCCCCGGCTGAAGAAGGGGTACCGCCGGCTCCGGTAGTTGACTCTGTGTTTGATGATGAGGTAGTTGCAGACTCTTCCAATGTTGTCGACAAAAGTCCAGCCGAAAGCCCAACATATGGTCCTGTCCGTAGGCGTGTCACCGGTAAGAATGGTCCACAAGCCTTTTTCCGTCCCAGTCCAATGAGACCTGATGACTTTTCTGAGATGATGGAAGAGATCATGCCTCGTCTGATGGAGCAAGTTATCCAAGATAGCGCAAGTGCGGACAGTAGCATGCAGTCCTCTTCACCCCGAGGGTCCAGTGCCAAGAGAGCACATAGCCCAGACCAGAGTGAAACTCAAGGTCCGGCACAGGTTCCAAGAACCGATGCTGCGAGTGCTGCCGCTGAGTCGAGTAGGCCTGCTTCCGAAGTGTTGTCCTGTTCCAAGCATGTTTCACAGTTATCACGTGCCGACCAAGAAGAGCTTGTAAACATGTTTCATAAGGGCGCCCCTGTTGAAGTCATGTTAGCTTCTTACATGCAGAAGAAGAGTTCAAAAGAAATTCCTCATGTCAATCAGGAGCCCGAACAACAGCGAAAGATCGATGAAGCCAAACTGGCTGAGTGGCACGTCATAGAAGGGAAACATGCGGGTCGGTTGGTTTTAGGAGAAGAAGCGCAACAGGTGCGCCAGAAACTGGCCCATCGAATCATGGACAGCAGATATGTGGTAACTCTGAAGCAGGAAGAGGACGCACCAGTCCGAGTGAAGGCACGGTGGTGTTTGCTAGGTCATCGTGACCCTGACCTATCTACCAAAGCACTTGAAGGAGCATTGCAGAGTCCCACCATTTCACAAGTGAGTAGGAGCATGCTTTTTCAAACCATTGCCTCAAACAAATGGACATTGTCATTGGGTGACATTAAGGGAGCCTTCCTAGCTGCAGGTCCATTAGCCGAACGTTTCAGGCCGCTGTATGCCCGTTTGCCGCCAGGCGGCATTCCAGGTGTCCCTGGTGACGCACTCATTGAAGTGACTGGCCATGTGTATGGCTTGAATGATAGCCCGTCAGCTTGGCAACAAAAGTTACACAAAGTGTTGTTATCTGTGGGTTTTCAAGTGAGTCGCTTTGATGCTTGCCTCTACCATCTGCGTGACAAGAAGGGTTGCCTTGTTGGCATTTATGGTGTTCATGTGGATGACTGTGCAACAGGTGGACATGGCCCAGTGTTTGCAAAAGCTATGGATGAATTGAAAAGACAATTTGAGTTCCGTAAATGGCGTACTCTTGATGGTGATTTCTGTGGAGCTAGGTACACACAAGATCCTCAAACATTTGCCATCACCATGAGCCAGTCTAAGTATGCACAGACTCTTCGTCCACTGCACTTGAGTCGCAGCCGGTGCGCCGATCGCACTGCGCCGTTGGATGAAAAGGAAGTGAGCTGTCTGAGAGCCATCAATGGAAGTTTGAATTGGATTTCATCACAGTCTAGGCCTGACCTTTCCACACAAGTGTCCTTTTCCCAACAATCATTTCCTGTGCCCACCATTGGTGATGCCCTAGCTGCAAACAATGCTATCCGGCGTGCAAAACAACATGCCGAATTGAGCGTTGTATATAGACCGATTCCTCTGCAAGACATGGCAATTGTGTGCCATTCCGATGCAGCTTATGCCAATGCCAAGGGAGGTGCAACACAGGCAGGATATGTTTTGGGTTTTACACACAAAGACTTGGAACATGGTAAGACATGTGCATGGACCCCAGCATATTGGAAAAGCCATAGGTTGCCAAGGGTTGTTAATTCCACCCTAAGTGCCGAAGCCCAATCCATGTCTGGTGCCTCAAGCATGTGTGAATGGTTGTCCCTGTTGCTAGCTGAAATTCGCGATGGGCAGTGTTGTGCGCAGTCCATGTGGGATGTTCCCCAAAGGCCACCATGCATTCTTATCACCGATTGTAAATCGTTGTTTGATCACCTGAAGTCCCCGTCAGCACCATCCCTGGACGACCGCCGTACGTCCATTGACATAGTGATCATCCGAGAGAGTGCGAAGCGTATGTCGGCATCCATCAGATGGATTCCAACAGACCGAATGCTGGCCGATGGCATGACCAAAGAATCAGCTGATGCCTTGGATTTACTTAGAGCATGTATGAAGTCAGGTAAGTATCAAGTGAGCCCGGAAAAGGCTGTTCTTGAATGGAGAGCCACTGAAAGAAATCGTCGCAAAGACATCGCCCGCCGTCGTTCCGAGTTCAGTGCCTTTTTGGTTTCTCAAGTTCCATAAGATGTGGAGACTTTAACAATGGGGTAATTGGGGAATAATAATGATAAGTAAGATGGCCTAGGGAGCTTTTGGGATAAACCTGTCCAGTTACATGTAACCTTGTGCAATATGTGTCAGTCCGACACAGCCCTTCTCTCAAGCCGTGAGCTGCATCTTGTTTGTCGTGACAACGAGTCACCATGTCCAATCCTTCACCGGCGCCGTTCAGTCTTGCCACATGGACCGATGCTGATCAGAGAGAATGTGTTCGTTTGATGCAGAAAGCCCATGGCTGTGGTGTGCTGAAAGCTATGGTGTCGTTGGTGACGGATCAGGATCATGACTGGTCTGTCGTCTCCGGACAGTCCAGTGAAGGAGCGATGAATGATGCCTCGAAGCGTTTGCGTGAGACCTCCGCAGACAAGCCTATGAAGACCTATGCGGCGTCATCGGAGCTTGGCACTATGGCCGTTCCCATGCCCAGTGCTGGCTATGGAGTGAAAGTTCCAAAGTTGCCCCCAGGAGTTGATTCTGTGGAGGCTTGGGGTCGCACCAAGATCACCTTTGGAAAGTTCAAAGACAAACGTACGTACTCTGGCCTTCATGTCTCTCAGAGTGCCGAAGATCGCAGCTACAAGTCCTGGTTGGCTCCTCGCCACGAGAAGGGATCCCCTCAACTGCAAGATTTGGTGAACTATTTGGTGGCTATGGGTGATCCTTCGGTGATCGATCATGTTCACGACAACCAAGTCGTGACAATTCCTGGCACCGACATTCCTCGTCGGTTGGGTTGAGAAAGAAAGGACGCTTGAAGATTTACACCAGTGTTGATGCATTGCACTTCACCTCATGTACACTAAGGGCAGACATCCGCAGGCACATTCATGGCCGAAGGTGGAAAAGAAGTCCGCGGCAGGGGCCGCGTGTTGCGAGGGTGCTACCGACATATATATATATATATATATTGTGTACATACTTAGATCCATTCCTCGCATCCTCGCCGCACAGAGGTCTTTGCAGACATTGTCACGACATGAGTCCATTCGAAAGTTCTCCATCTTTTTTGAATTCGCTAAACGTATCCCCTGCCCCCATCGTTCTCCATTTCGGATTAGAATAGGGACCTCTACAGAAAACGGCTCTCTTTTAGGCTCGAATAAAAATGGTAAGCCCATTTGGTTCAACAACAATCCTTTCCAACATCTGAAGCATCCAACACGAACACACCTGATAATTTTGGTACCGATGTTTTCCTCAGAAAAAACAGGATCCACTCATAGATTCAACCCGTTGAAGGTACCGCATGTTTCTCGTCACCTCCGCCATGCCAGGCCTCAGAACTGCTCGTGGAGTAGATGTTGGAGACCTTGGGTCCCTTACGTGGACGCCCATGCCCTCAAGCTTCCCGGACAGCGAGGGGGTGCGCGTCATATCGTAATGTTGGGTTTAAGGCACCAAACATGGGGCCAAAGCCAGCAAAAACCATGCCAAAACCGGTTTTTACAACAACAGTGCATAGGTTTTCTGGCTGTGGCACCTCTCAGACGACTGCAATTGTTGAAACAGCGAATGCACATGACACAGATGCGGTGGATGGGGTTAGGGGTGGGCCAGTAACCTTGCTTTGTACTTGCGCACTCACTTGATGCTAGGCGTTTTACTTTCTCTTGTACCTTACTGTACATAGGAACTTGATTCTATGATCTTATATAACGTTTGCTTTTCACTTACGCTCACACTTGATGCTACACTCTTACTGTTAATCTTGCAACTTACACAGGCCCTTGATGCTACGCCGCTACGCTCTTAACTTTCTCTTTTGATTTTCGTTGGCACTTGATGCTATGCTTCTATACGCTTCTTCCTTTCCCAAGTATCTTGCACCCGCAACCAGAGCTATGTTGGACGTCCGGTGGGGGAGTTTTGTTGACATTCCTATGACATAATCCCGAAACGCTTGTTGACAGCACTTAAATCCCTACACTCTACTGCCAAAAGCAGAGCTAACTTCACCGTCTGAGTGCATCTGTTCCGAAAGTCTTGGACTCCAATCAATCCCCAACATTTCTGTAACTGAATGGGAAAATGTTCAGGAAACCTCTACAATGCGGGGCCCCACAGTTATAAGTTAGTCTATAAACCCCGTTAGAATACTAGAGTTACTAGAGTTAGTATCATCAACCATCAACCATAGTTATTGGATTTATAAACCAACTTAGCTATCGGTGGTAAAGCCATGGCTGCCATGGCTCACTGTACATAGATTTTGCCCTGAACCAATCCATTGAAACATTGGATCATTCCCTGGCAATGTTGGTCGCTCTAGGCTTCGCGGAGCCACATGGCCTTTGATTCCTCCCACGGTGTCTGGGACTTTGATAAGGATCAATGTTCTGGAGGGTATGCATACCCTCTGGTAAACGTTTACATAGCTATGGAAAATCACCATTTTTAATGGAAAAATCCACTATAAATGGCCATTTTCAATAGCTATGTTACTATGTTTGTTTACCAGAGGGTAACAGGTTAGTGAATTAATACAATTTACCCAGAACTCTGATATGATAATTATAAATCACTGTAGATATGTACTACTTATGGATTCTAAAAGGATGGAGAATCACAATATTGGATAATATATATATAATTATATATATATATATATATATTTGTAGTATATTTTGATATATATATATATAATATTGTGTTTTTTTTATGTTTGGATGTTTGGGATGTTTGTAAACTGTGCATTAAGATTTGATACTTCACAGAGAATGCTTGCCAAGCAGGAGCGAGATTGATGGGACCCTGTGGGACCCTGTGGGACCCTGGGATGGTGCTGTTGCTGTAACATACTAAAGTAACTAAGGATTATTTGTTTGATAATTTGAGGGCTTTAGTCACTTTAGTATACTTTAGTATACTTTAGTATACTTTAGTATACTTTAGTCACTGAATGTCACTGAAATGTCCTTTGTTAAATCCACTTTGCAAAATTGAATCTGGGCAGAAATTGTAGTTGTGTTGCCCTGTAAATCTTGAGACAGGCAAGAGTCTCATGTCTTTGTTTTCTGTTGTGGGGTGATTTTATTTGGACTGAAATCAGTTGGCTGGTGTTGAAAACAATATTCATCCATCATTGGATTGATTTGGGCCCCGGTATTTCAATCTTGGCATGTAAAGCTCCAGCTGCGCTGGATCACCATATCGTGACATTGACGAGCTGCGAAAGGAGACCAATTGTGGATCACTGGCGACATTTTTGGTTGGCGACCAATAGATGCTACCATATACAGATAAAGTAACGCCGAGAGTTTGATTGTACTGTATTTCATCTTATTCCCACATCTTCAGTTGATTCAGCCAGTTTAGATATGGTATGTAATTATTCAATATTGGTTCATCATATATCATTGCTTCTTCCGCCCACCCAATGGTTGTGGATGAAATATCGACCCAATATTCCCCGATTACCATCATTAGTCTTGGACTTTAGCATTTTACATTGAAGTTTCAATTTTACTTTTTGTCGTTTTCATCCTCATGTGGTGATACCCCAAAGTTTCTTTGGCTTCCTACCTACTATCGAGCACGTACCCCAAAGATACTCGCCAAACATAGCTAAACTGATGTTCCAAAACCGTCCAAACATGGGGGCCCTATTTGTCCGGAATCGGATGAAGGGAACATCAAGAGGAAACCCTTATGTGAGATTCATTTAATGGAGAAAAGGCAAAAACTATGGCAACCATGTTTGTTTTTTGTTTTGTTGTCCTTAAATCAATCTATTGACTATCAGATTTGGTTCTTAAATTCCCCATTTTGAATCATTTTGAAAGGTTTAGGCTAGGTGACTAGGGTTAAATCATTTGAAATCCACGTGCTCGTTGCTAAATATCCACATTTCCCAAGTGAATCCTCAGTTTGGTTGTTAAAAAACAGATTGTTCATCGTTGAATCAGTTCCCCTATGGATGTTCCATTGGTTTTCCATGGATTTTCCCTGGATTTCCATGGATTTCCCATGGATTTCCCATGGGTTTCCCATGGATTTTCCATGGGATCCTTCTCGTTGGATCCCAAGGAGAAGTTGCCCGAGCCCAAGATCCTGAAGCGCCTGCGACCGGAGGTGCCTTGGAAGATGAGTTTTTGTCCTGTAGATATCTATATATATCAATAGCAATCTACCTAGCTATATAGCTATTGTATAGCTATTGTATAGCTATTTTGATATAAATCTATATAACCCTGTTATATACGAATTCATATATGATGTTTATTGGTGTTTTTCATAGCTATGTGAATGTTAAAAAAAAAACAATAATACATGTTTTCTATGGTTGAGTGATGTTTCTTTTTTTGGGCAACTGGTTGACATTGATTGAATAAGTGGTTTGTATTTTTTTGATATTGCAATCATCGATTTAATGATTGGATTTGTAACATTGTATCACTACTATTTGCGCGATAATGACATTTATATAAATATGTGGAGGGCGGGCCAGACTACAAGGCACCGGAGGTAGTATGAAACACCAGTTCCATCGGTATTTAAATGTATAGTTAAATAAATTGGACTCCGTAGGTTTAAATGGCCGGGCGGGCAAAGGACAACCTTCCCGGAGGTAGTCTAAAATACAAGTTTGTATATCTAAAAATCCGTGTATTTAGATGTAGTTCCCGTAGTTTTTTTCTAGTGTTTTTATATCACAGCAATGCCCCAAAAAGGTAGACCATTGAGATCCAATAATGGTAAATTACTAGATCTATCTTATTTCGCGGCTACCATAATTGAAAAAGAAGTTGTTATTTTTTCGCTGACTGACAGAAGCCACGGTTTAATGATGTTGCTGTTTAAAGGAATGGAGATAAACAGTACTCAATGTGTTGGTCTTGTTTATGCGTCATAGTTATCATAGTTGAGCCTTAAGGAACATGAGGTTATGTTATTTTTTAATAGTGCCCCAATCACTAAATTGTTGCTGGTTTCAAATATGGTGTTTATTCCCATCCGCAAAAATCGGATGAGAATGCCCAATGGAGCAATATTTCTGGAAGAGGCTGAAGCCACCAATCACTAAAGATCTATAATTACGGTGGATATGTATGTGTATATATATATAGTTGCTCCCAATAGAAAGGACTGTAAGTTATCGTTAATTTAGTAGGTTTTTAGTTTTTACAGCTCTATTTTCAGGGGGATACCGTTTCTGTATATCTATCCCACCCGCATGCTATTCATCGCAGGTATCTATGAACAAACTGGCCATTCCAATGTTCAAACAAACATCTGGATTGATGATTCTATGGGGTTATACTATCCAAAATATTGAGGAGTATCACACTCCATTAGGAAATCCTTTTATATTAACCAACAAGTATCAAGGAACGGAATGACAGAGGGTTTTGAACACTGTTCAAATGGAGATCAAAAAAGAGAAGTGCAGATAGATATCCTTTTGACTCACAAGCCATTGTTCGTTGGGTAGATCAGGTTCTCTAAATGAGTTTGTCTGAAAATGGATACCCAATTCTTGATGGTTTATCATGAAGTTTGCACCATTTCATGGCCATTTTTGGGGTACTGTATCCCCGAATTTTGCATCCATCGTGCATATAAATATATATACATATATACTGGTTGGTGGTTTCAAACATTGTTTCTTTTCCATAGTATGTGGGCTAATCCTTCCCATTGACTAATATTGTTCAAGATGGTTAAAACCACGAACCAGCATATAATTATGTGTGTTGCCAGTAATTATATATAATATGTGTTCATTATATCAATAATTATATATATATTATCAATTTACAGTAATTATATATAATTATTGGTTAAATTGCCATATACCGTGTCAATTTATAGATGGGCTGATCAAACTTTGGGATTACGGTAAGGATTTGCTTGGTATCACCACAGCATATTACAGGGGTCCCTGGGCCTGAGGTTGGAAGCATCCCTATTTATTACCGCGGAGCCTCCCCTTTGGAAAACAAATCACTTGGAAAAAAAGATCGATTGAAGGATAACCGGATTCAGTTCGAGGATAATAGAAAATTCAAGATTTGTGTTTTGTCTATTCGCCAAAGCCGTATGTTGAAATATGCAGATGATATGAATTATCCACACTCAGACTCAGCCACCACAGCATCCAAATGATCCTGTAGCCCCTATTGAGGACAGATATCAAGTGAGCAGTTGGCAATATGCTGATTATCAGTTGGGCAGGCACGCTGAGTCGGATCACCCCTTTGCCATCGATGACTGGCGGGTGAGTAGTTTGTTGACTTTTCCCTTGCTGCAAACCAATTGAAAGGAAAATCACATGATTAGATGATGTCACAATTGATAGATATGTAGAAGCCCCAAACATTTCTTTATATGACAAAACCCAACCAATTGTAGAATCCCTAAGATAGATAGAATTTAAGAGTGGGACATTTGGAAATATGAGCTAAATAGCATTGAATAACGCTAAATATCACCGTCCTGGAAACATGTGTTTAATTGTGTTTATCAGTTGTTTATCTCTTTGCGGGTGACCCTCTGGTAATCAAGCATAGCAATGGAAGCTCGTATTTATAGATGTGTTATGATGTGTGTCTCATTTGAATGCCTATTGATAGGGAATTTCCCATTACCATGTTTGATTACCTCATTGTAAGTCCGGAAAAAATCAGTTCCCACAAAGATCTAGTTTGTTCATGGTAAAATCACCATATGTTCCCAGCAAATTCATAGTCGATCCCAATTGACCTTCAAAGGTCAAGCCAATCACCGCTCACAATCCGACCAGAGACCCAAAGATCGTTCGACTGTCTCTCATGTGTGTTACTTACACAAAATGTCCTTTGTTCTTGAATCCCCACTTTCAATTTCGAATCCACATTTTTGCTGGTTTGATCCATTTCTTACTTCATTCCACAGAATTGACATTATTCGTCAAAATCCCTGTGTCTTCCAACATGATGAGAGTCGACTCTCCCAATCATTTCCTGGGCGAGTTTTTTGTGTCGCCCACCAGGGGAAAGAAAGGTGTTACCAGGCTCACTTTGCAGTGCTGACCGCTCTGGTCTTGGGAATTTTGGACAATCTTCTAAACAATGTGCAGAATATCCCAGTTATATCATGTTATATCCATGCCAATAGGGGAAATGATAATTAACCAATGGATTTTGGAGTACCATATTTTTACACAGACCCATATGTTGTTCTACATGCAAATAGATTTACATTTACAGTTTAACATAGTATGATTATGCAGCATAATAATGATGATAATTCAGGATAATTATGTAATTATAAAGTTAAGTTAAGTAGTCATATTAATGTATGTGTAAATATAAACAAGCAATTGTGCGTACAAGTTTCAACATAGGTGCTGAAGTAAGGATCTACATGAAACATCATCAATTAAACCTCGTTTTTTTCCCGAGCTCAGTCAGCACATTGGTTTCCCGTCGGCTGAATCCTTGGAGAGCCAACCATGGATGATGTGTTTGCTGCTCGGCCTTCAGGTTTCCAGGTCAACCTTCGTGAAATAGAGGATAAATCCGAGGATTTGTAGCTTCATGGAAGAGTCCATAATATTTGATACTATACATTAAATCACACGCTATATGCACATGATAACTGGCTATTCACCTCTTGATTTGGTATGAAAAACCTGGTGTCATTCATGTTTCTGCGACATGACAATTTCAATCAGACTTTACCAGGAATTTATCATGGTTCAGTTCAGTTTAGCCCAAATTTGAGGGTAATAACCATGGTTTCCGGTTAGCCGATCTTGTCCAACAAGACCAATCCATTGAAACCTGAGTTTGGTTGATGCAATCCCCAGTTTAATCCCCAGTTTATCCAGTGTGTTCATCATGTTCAATGGTCTAATCAAACCTTTTCTGGTGGTGAAACATGCCTAATTCAAATTCATTTGTTAAATCCATAAGCCCAGCTTTTTTGATTGCTAAATTCAATTTCCCTCGAAATTTGCCAACCATTTTTTATGGTTACATCATCACTTGTTTCTCTGATCCCAGTGTTTTTTTTTTGCATGGCCGCAGGGAAGCGGTGGAGGCTTCAACAAACTGGACAAGGAGAGCTCCCAGCTTCAGTACGTAAAGTGCAAATGCAATTAAATGGATAAATGGTTACAGGGATGAATGGGTGATCTAACAGTTTTAAGTGATTTACGGTACGGTAGGTAGATCTTGGATTTATCCTGTCCTTGCATGGCAGATCCCAATTGTGTCAGTGTTCATGCATGGGTTTGCCCAAAAATGGGTACCACAAAATTCAATGGTTCAAGCATCATGTTCCCCATTCAAGTTGCCAGTTTGGGTTTTCTGCGATGTTTGTCCAAACCCTTTGTTTTACCCTTTTACCCTTCCGGGGATTACACATCACTCTAGTGGCAATACATCAGGGTTGTTACCTCGCCTGCTCCGGTCGCCTTCCCAGCTGGTGTTATCCTCATTGGATTGGTATGTTTTCGGTGCCGGGCTATCATCATCTCAGCTACTAGTATCCAGTATCACTTAAAAATGCATGTAGTGATCCTGCAGAGTCTTGCAAATGAGTGGCGAACACGTGGATACAACCCGCTCTTGTGACAGATTACATGGTGTGTATTGATTATATACAGTATAATATATATAATATTATATATCATATATTACATGTTATGAATGTTATGTATTATGCATTATACATTATGTATATGTATGTATAATATATTTTATATTATATATAATATATGATATATCATATATAATATATTTTATTACATATTAATTATATATTATCATATTATATTATATTATATCATATTTTATCATATTATAGTGTATTATATTACATATTACATATCACATATTACATATTATATATTATATATTATATATTATATATTATATATTATATAGTATATAGTATATATTATATATTATATATATAGTATATTTTATATATTATATATTATATATTATATAGTATATAGTATATATTATATATTATATAGTATATTTTATATATTATATATTATATATTATATATTATATATTATATATTATCATATATTTTATTATATTAAATATTAATATATAATGTATTACATATATATCATATTATATATATATTAAATATGATAATATATATAATATTAAATTTATTATATATATAGTATGTACATATACATACATATTATACAATTTGCTGACCGTTCCATTTGAAAATGACACCGACCAGGGAGTGTCCCCTCTTTTTAGGCCATGGGCAAAGAAAGCCATTATTTAAGCAGCTGAACCTGGAGACCTAGAGGTTTTGAGATGTTTTTTTCTCCCCCAAATAACCCTATATACTTCTGTCAATATGGAATAATAATGAATGATGATGAATGATATATATATATATATACACATGCATAAATACATTACATACAGAGAGAGATTATCAAAATTAGAGGCTGCCAGCAGGGCTGCCGTTGAAACTAGCGAGTGCACAGCTGGTTCTATTTTGATGATGGCAAAGCTGGTCATGTTTTGATCGAATGGTACATATATATATATCGATCTTACAAACACATACAATCGTTTATATTTCTTTGTGAATGTAGATGCAGTTCATATATACATATACACTACATTAGATCCTTATAACTATATAAAACTATATACAGTAGAACTATATAGAATATAACTATATATTCTATACTATAATTTCACATATATATATAGTATGGATATCCACATTTCAACTGATCGCCATGGTCAGGAGCTGGATCGGTCAATTGCCCTGGTACCAAACTTAGTCCCTGTGACACATGGCGGCCTGAAGCTGGCTTCAAAGGTTTAGGTGGAAGTGGATGCAACTGGTATAAAATCAATATATATATATATATATGTACATATATATGTACATATGTATATATATATACGTATGTATGTGGATAGACATTTATCTAGCTAGATAGATAGATCTGATTAAAGATAGATTTGATCATGATTCTGATTGATAGATTAAAGTGGATTAAAAGATAGATTGAATGGATAGACTGATAGACAGACAGACAGTTGGACAGAAAGACAGTTAGACAGATTGATGGATGGATGGACAGATAGATAGACTTGGGTCAAAATTGGGGTGCCAAAAGAACCCAAATTGGTCATGACTACTGTAACAACGTCCAATTTGGGGGCTCAGATATTTTTGGACCATAGCCATTCCATGAATTTGATACGTATTCTGGACAGAGCTCTGGGATATCAACTGGGTAAATATAGTATCCTGTTGGTAATTGGGGATGGATCAATACCTATACATACCATTTTTAGTGGGATGAACATCCATTTACCAGCTATTTTGATGTTCACCAGGGGTACAAGGTTTTGACCCATAGCCATTTCATTTTAACTGCAATGATAGAACAGAAACCAGCCACTTACAATACTCGCTGGAAAATGCCTTTGCGGGATGATGCGGGATGTACTCCATCATTCTGGACCTAGTGGACCTAGTGCAGAGTCACCTGGGATTTCCGAAAACTCCCCAAGTTGTGGCCATTTTGATGCAGATCATGAGAGAACCTGATACATCGGGGATTTGCAATGCAACAACATTCAGGACTGGAACGGTATCTTGCATATACTGAAGGAAAAACATATTCAGTATATCTTGAATTGAGTGCTGGCATCCAGTTATTGGTTGTTTAGCGTGCGCAGTGGCAGGTTGGCTCTTGTCGCGCTGATCGCATCTTTCTTCGGTTACTTTCTGTGCACCGGTCGTCCGGCCGCCCGGGTTTGGATTGTTCAACCTCGGATGATAATCCCAATCTGCTCGTATTTCTCACGGGGGTAGTGAAAAATTCAACTACCTTCGGATGCATATGTTTCGGCTTACTAAGTTACTGTCATCTAAAAGAATCTAACCTCATGGATTGGCTGTGCGCGTGGGCTTGTGTCAAGCGACAAGTTGAAAGAGCACTGTCAAATCCAAGTGGACGTGCAAATGAACGTAACTAAGTGACTAGCCCAGCCTCACCCCAGACTCCACCCCATCTCATCTCACACCCCTCTGATATAGATAGATGGAGGGGCGCCGATGCGCCAAAATTGTGAGCGCCGATGATGAGGACCAATTTTCAGACAAACTCAAGAATATAGTGGGGTCATGTTCCCCCAACTGTTAGGATCTTGGTTTAGTTCTACTCTTGCCAGTTTTCTCGGCCCCCCCTCAGCTTTCCGGCTGCTTCTTTTCCCAGGAACGCGACAGCCAAGCGAGGTAGGGGCGCTGGGCGAGATGAGGAACTGACATGTTTCTTTTGAATCATGGGGATTAACACTAAAGATATATGGGCATTGCGTGGCGTTACAATGTGTTACATGGGGTTTGAATCGGGTTTCATGCGGTTCAACAAGGTTCCATAGTGTTTCAATCAGGAAGTCCGGGGTTCTACATGGTTTCACCAACAAGAATAAGAGGTTTCATGGGGTTTGATGATGATGGAACCAACTAAGTCATGGGAGATAAGTCATATAAAACCAAACACTTGATGAGTAAATCTTATTTTTGACATACTGGGGATGTCCTCCCGAGGTGACTCCAAAGATCTCCAAAGATCGCATCCATGATGTGTTTTAACCATGCTAATAGGGTCAGTCAAATCCCCTTGTTTTTAATGTTTTTTTTGTTTTAAAAAAAATAATAATGGTGTAATGAAAGGGATTATCATAAACCTATTGAGGTTTGCATAGGTTTTGTATGGTTTTTTTAACTATCAGTAATATGATCAACCTATGGAAACCTATGGGTGAAGACGGAATCCCCGGTGGCGGCGAGGCTGATCGGATACTCAGAGGCTGAGATACGGCGATGATGGGATCTTCAATTCTGTGGGCCTTCAGATCCCAAAAAAACAATATATAATTATATATATATAATTATATATATAGGGAATTTGACCAGCAAAATTTGTTCATATATTTACTATATACTATACATATATATATATAATATATAAACATTGGGAATCTTACCCAAGTGCATCCTGCATGGTCCAGGACCTGGATCCAAATCCACCATTCAAATGCGGTACCCCTGGAGCCAACATGAGGTGAGAAAATAGGGTACCCGGCTACCCCCAAATCAGTGGTTAGTCATTGTCTCAATGAAACTGTCATACATTTGGGGTTTCAGAAAGACCCAAATCATCTTGTTGGTTAGTATTCCGAAGCTGGAATCCCCATTGAATCATGGTTGGTCAATCTTATATAATATATAGTTGGTTAACATCCCGGTGATATCCCCATGTCCGATTCAACCCTCGTTTATAGTTGGTTATCATTTACAAAACCACCAGAAATAAACCACGTAGACTTAGACATATCATATGAACATACATGAAGTCGATGATTGTTGGTGACATATTCCCATTTTCAGGCCCCCAGGGGCCCCAGGACGAATGTGAGTCGAATCACTTCCCCTGGCAGGTTATGGCGATGCCCTCGAAGGAACCGAAGCCATGGACGACTCCCGAGATTTCGAGCGGCTCCAAATGGTGACCTAAAACCGGAAATCAGGTCACCCAGGGACCCAGGGACGGGAGATTTGGGGATTTTCTATGGCAATGAACTTGTAAAGTTCAGGGGCGCAGCACAAGTCATCAAGCTAGTGGTCTATGTCATGTTTTTTGGGAAAAGCAATGAAAGATGTTGTTAAGGTGTCCAGCACTGCATGGGGTCCTGAACTCCAGGGAACCACATGCCACAGCACATGGGTATGTCGTAAAATGTGAGTACTCCAAGATCATCCTCGAATGATTATGTCAGACTTTATCCTATTTTAAATATCAAGCCATCAAATTTTGGGGTACATTCTTAAGAAGCCCTCACATCACGCAGAGTGAATCCCATCCCAATTTTGGACACCTCAAAACAAGCACACAAACCACCCTAATTGAGCGACCCAAACACGTTGACATTGACAATTTTACTGAGTTATATGTCAAACAGACCCTCACCCATCAGGATCTCTGAAAATGGGGTATACGGATGTATACGGTATACCCTCAAAATCACCCTTTCCTGGAGGAAAGCATAGCGGCATAGCGGTAATCCTGGCAGGTTGAAAACATATCAGTCAAATCCCGTAGCTTGTATCCCACCAAAAAAAACTGTTCAATTGGTGGTTTCAGATCATGTTTGAAGTTAGGAACATTTCGGACAGTGAAAGCAACTTGCCGTATCCCATGAACATCCATGAATTCACAAGGAAAAGACACCCAGTCAAGAAGGCCAATACTCATTAAAAACAAGTCATATTTTGATCGTATCATCCTATGTAAGATATTGTATACTATAGGGTCTTTGTTTGATCAATAACAATTTTCGTTCTATCCTTATCGATCGCATCGTGTCGCTGCGCAGGTAGCCCCATGCAGATAAATGCTTGGACTGCGACGTTCACCCGGGGATGCTGGGCGATCAAACACACAATTCCTTCCATCATTGTCCATGCTTGGGATGAATGTGTACGTCGATATGCTATGTATATCTATGTATACTATATATAATATAATCATCATTGAATATCCAAAGAACTCAGGTTCAGAGTTCTAGCCTACTTTCATCTACCGGCGCTGTTAACGGACCCGCAGGTTTTGCGTTTTTTTTTGCTGTCGCATTGCCCGTCTCTTAGAAGTTGTGCACGTCAGTTAGTTAGAAGTTGTGCCTGTCAGTTAGAAGTTGCGCACGTCAGTTAGAAGTTGTACCCGTGAGTTAGAAGTTGTGCACGTCAGTTTGAAGTTGTGCCCGTTAGTTAGTTAGAAGTTGTGCACGTCAGTTAGAAGTTGTGAGCGAAGGATAGTGTGATTTTCTTGGGGAACCGGGTGGGGTGGGGAAGGGGGGTGGGGTGAGGTTGCAATCCCCTCTGTCAAGGGAGCCCTGGATCTACGCTAGTCGTTAGAACACTTGTGGTCAACGCGGCGGCAAGCTACACCTTTTTGCTGCGGTATGCAAGCAATTCTTGAGCCACGGAGTGGCGCAGTGGTCGAAATGAATTAATGTGAACATGTCATGTACATGCAACAATGTGGGCATGCATTGTGTAGACACACGTCCACAAAACTAGATTACATGGGGGGCAAGGGGTACGCTGTAACATGTCTCTGGTCACTTGGCACACGCTCTTGATGCTGCGCTGTAACATCTCTCTAGTCACTTGCCACATGGTTTTGATGCTACGCTGTAACATGTCTCTGGTCACTTGTCACACGTTTTTGATGCTACTCTGTAACATGTCTCTGGTCACTTGTCACACGTTTTTGATGCTGCGCTGTAGTATTTTTCTGTTCACTTGTCACACGTTTTTGATGCTGCGCTGTAACATGTCTCTGGTCACTTGCCACACGCTCATGATTCTACGCTGTAACATGTCTCTGGTCACTTGTCACACGTCTTTGATGCTACGCTGTAACATGTCTCTGGTCGCTTGCCACACGCTCATGATGCTACGCTGTAACATGTCTCTGGTCACTTGTCACACGTCTTTGATGCTACGCTGTAATATTTTTCTGGTCACTTGCCACACGTTCATGATGCTACGCTGCAACATGTCTCTGGTCACTTGCCACACGCTCATGATGCTACGCTGTAACATGTCTCTGGTCACTTGTCACACATTTTTGATGCTACGCTGTAACATGTCTCTGGTCACTTGTCAGACGCTTTTGGTGCTACTCTGTAACTGTCTCTTGTCTTTCTATTTTCAGGTGAGTAAAGTAAGACGTGTAATGTTGACATTTGAGAGTTGAGAGTTGCACATCATTTTGCTTGCAGGACATCGGACCCATGAAAATTCTACCGCTAACACCATGGGTTCCCAAGAGTAGAGGCTGTTATGGCAAGTGACAAGTGACCAGAGACATGTTTCTGCGTAGCATCAAAACCGTGTGGCAAGTGACCAGAGACATGTTACAGCGTAGCATCATGAGCGTGTGGCAAGCGACCAGAGACATGTTACAGCGTAGCATCAAAGACGTGTGACAAGTGACCAGAGACATGTTACAGCGTAGCATCAAAAACGTGTGACAAGTGACCAGAGACATGTTACAGAGTAGCATCATGAGCGTGTGGCAAGCGACCAGAGACATGTTACAGCGTAGCATCAAAAGCGTGTGGCTTGGATTGAAACACGCCTGACAAATGATGGTGTATCACGATGCAGCTGAAGCGCTTCTTGCCCTTCTCCGTCCATAGCAAAGACAAGGTTACCAAAAAGGATTCTCAAAGAATCCAACAGTATGTGTGGTCCTTTGCCTATCGTTGGAGCCACAAGGTAGACTTGAAAGGACGTCTCTCCAAACTGGCAGCTAAGGTTAACAAACGCACACGCTGAACCCATGAAGAGAGAAAAAGAAGAGGACGAAACGCCGTCTTTCATTCTGTTTTCCAAACCCACATTTGCAAATTATTTAGCCCAATAGAACTCAATGATCAACGAATAAATTCCTAGCGTAACGTGGGACGAAAACACCATTTCTAATTGAAGGCAAAACAACAAAATCGTCACGGCGCCACAGTTTTAAACAAATCAATGAAGAATGGTTGAAATCAAAATCATTAAAAACACCGGGTCCGCTATCAGCGCCGGTACCTAGTTTGAAGATGTGGTTTTTACCCAGGAAAAGAGGTTGTAGCAGCTTGACCAGCATCTCTGTTTTAGATGGTGGAACTTCGCAGGGATGTCAGTGGATTCGGCTCCCCAATACAATGAAGGGGCGCAATTGGTGTGGTAAACCCTGGATGGATATTTTAGGACTTTTGTTGCTTGCGTTAAATGGATTTAGTACATCTGTCTATGTGTACGTATGTATATATATATATTATGTTGAGATATGTATATGTATATATATATACGTATATGTAAATATGTGTATATATATATGTATATATATATATATATGTATATATATATATATATGTATATATATATGTTTTTATGTGTATATATATATGTATGTATGTATATATATATGTATGTATATATATATATGTGTATATATACTTTACTTTTTGGGAATGTATCCGAGATTGGCCACGCAGAAACGCAGAAGGAGTGCTGGGTGTGGCTGTGTTCGTGGTTTTGGTGGGTGGATAACAGATAGGAAACCGGATTATTTTGTTGGGCTATTACTGCACTGTATTGTGACATATTGTGACTGGGCAGGCCGTTGCGGAACATTCCTCAGGGGAGTAGGAACCACAAAGATCCACAAAACACACGAAGCCGACAACTACAGCACTGTTCCAATGTGGAGAGTTGAATATGTGGGAAGCCAGCAGCAGGTCCACTATGTAGAACGGCCTTCAGGGTCAGAAGTAGAGTTGGAGTTTTGCTGCAAAGGAGTTCCCAAGTATGTTCAAAAAACTGTCAAAATCATCAACACAGATGTTATGTACATATATATATAATATATATACACCTATAGTATACAGATACCTATAATATGCGTTTATATATATATATATATCAATACACCTACAATAGTTTTTTATACAAAATACAGATACATATATAGAATATATATATATACATATACATACATATATACATACATATATACATACATATATACATACATATATACATACATATATACATACATATATACATACATATATACATACATATATACATACATATATACATACATATATACATACATATGTACATATGTACATATATACATACATATTTACATACATATATTCATATGTACATATATATATATACATAATACATTATAAATTATATATATATATGCACTTTATTTGGGGGGGCACTCTGAAACTTCTCGCTAGAAGCTGGAGCTGGACTTTTTTTTTGCACCTTGGATCGGGAAGTCGACCCTGGCATAGCTGTGGTGAGCGGCACGGGCGAACATCCTAAGTTTGGAAATTTCCTGGAAACCCGGGGAAACCTATTTTTTTTACAAAAAACACAGGTTACTGGGAATATGTTGAAAAAAAAAGGTTACTAACTAGGTTACTTGGAAACCCAGGGTTACTGTAGTCAAGAGTTGGAAACCCAAGTTCTGAGAATATGTTTCTCCATTTGTGTGACAATCGCTGTCTAAATCCCACCAGTTGCGTTATGACTCTCCAATTTACATGAGTTGGCGAAGACTGTCCCAATTGGTTCCGATCCTTCACATTTTGGCCCCATAGAATCACATATACTCAACTTGGCATGGGTTTCCATATTGTGCACAGCGAGTGGCTGGTGCAGTTTCCACTGTGCACACCAAGTTTTCCTGATGTCTGGCCCTGTTTCCGCTCACCGCATGGATGTGTTGATGCCTCGACTGGCAAAGCCACGAAAAACAGATTCGTGCTGAGTGTGGATGTGTGGTTTGGGGTTTACAGAAGACTTGGATCGACTAGTCATGATACAATTTCCTGGTACAAATTTGTCTATATATAATATAAATAATATTAATTAACATCAACTAAAATTATTTTATATTACTTTTATATACTTATTATATAAACTCAGTGAACATTCAGTGACATGAATTGACATTGATTAACATCAACGAACATTAACTAAGCGCAATGAAACAGTGCGGGTGAGGCCACTGGCACGGAATCAGCACCCACATAGGATGAAGTTTGCGTCAAAGTCTAGGACAGTATGTTTATTATTTTTTTGGGATAATAGATACACCATGAATAGATATTTATATATGCACATGTATATATATGTATATATATATATGTGTATATATATATAATCGTATATATATAATCATATATATATAATCATATATATATAATCATATATATATATAATCATATATATATATAATCATATATATATATATAATCATATATATATAATCATATATATATAATCATATATATATAATCACATATATATATAATCATATATATATATAATCACATATATATATAATCATATATATATACACATGTATAATTGTATACGCATATGTATACAGTATGTGTATATATATATATATATACATTCGTACATGTATGAACATATGTGAAATTGCATGAACATATATCAAGACCCATCTCATGTTTGGGGAGTTTTTTGCTTCATGTGTCCTTTCCAAGAAAGCTGAGAGCATAGATAAACAATGTGAAAGTGTTGTACAGGTCAATATCATATTGCCTCAAGTTGTTGTCACATCCGGGCAAAGTGTTTCAGATGTTCAAACCAGGGTATTAGGGTGCCATGACCCTATTATACATTATCCAATCTTAGAGCGTTGAAACATCTTAAAGTGTTACCTTTAGTGGCATCATCCAATTGAATTTGCCCCAAGATTTTGGCCTTACCAAGGTTCCCAATGCGTGTTTTCTCTGAAAAAATATAACGCTCGCCAGGGTGTGATACCAAACATGGTCATTCTATGTCATTCTGCTGGGTGCATTGCGATACATTCTTTTCCTTCGGTTTCGAGCCGTGGTCATGTCTAAGAACAACCCCCCAAATACAAATGGCTTTGTCCAATAGGGT